TTAAGCCTGACTGGACCATGTTATTAAAAGAAACTGTGTTTTACTGCAGTGTACTGGTAGCAAGCCAAGATGCAGCCGTGTTCCTGAGTTTGATCTAAATACATGTAGGAAGTGTTCCAAAGTCCTCGGTGCTAAAACTAACGTACATTTAACTGGCCCGCTTGGGTTACATCAAAATTAGATCAAATTGTAGGAGAGTGAGATGTAGACCGAAATTCACATTTTTTATTTAATCTGCGCTGCTGGAAAAAATAGATACAATTCTTTTAATTACCTCGAGAGATTAAACAGTTTAAATAAAATAAGAGGAAAGCAGATCTGATGATATGTGGTGTGATTTCATCAAAGCAACATAATTGTTGGGTCATTCAGAGCTTTATTAGTCTTACTGCCAACAAACAGCTTGTGAAGGTGTGCCTCCTATCCAGATCTTATCCAGATCTTATCCAGATCTTACCCAGATCTTATCCAGATCTTATCCAGATCTTATCCAGATCTTATCCAGATCGTATCCAGATCTTATCCAGATCTTACCCAGATCTTACCCAGATCTTACCCAGATCTTATCCAGATCTTATCCAGATCTTATCCAGATCTTATCCAGATCTTATCCAGATCTTACCCAGATCTTACCCAGATCTTATCCAGATCTTATCCAGATCTTATCCAGATCTTATCCAGATCTTACCCATATCTTACCTAGATCTTACCCAGATCTTACCCAGATCTTATCCAGATCTTATCCAGATCTTATCCAGATCTTATCCAGATCGTATCCAGAACGTATCCAGATCTTATCCAGATCTTATCCAGATCGTATCCAGATCTTATCCAGATCGTATCCAGATCTTATCCAGATCTTATCCAGATCGTATCCAGATCGTATCCAGATCGTATCCAGATCGTATCCAGATCGTATCCAGATCTTATCCATATCTTATCCGGATCTTACCCAGATCGTATCCAGATCGTATCCAGATCGTAGATCGTATCCAGATCTTACCCATATCTTACCCATATCTTATCCAGATCTTATCCAGATCTTATCCAGATCTTATCCAGATCGTATCCAGATCTTATCCAGATCTTATCCAGATCTTATCCAGCCTGCAGTCTGCTTGATCTGAGAGCTTGTGAAGGGAGGCGACCAACTTTACACAGTGTGTAGTTGGAGGTCATCCCTGGAGATTAGTGTCACTTTGTAAACATCTTCACTCCTGCAGCTTTACTGAAAAAATACTTTTAATCATCCCGACACCGTTTTTTTTACCTGCGTTTCTTCTCAGGGTCACTGGGAGCTGGACGCCTGGTGCACGTGTGCCGTTTGGCAAGTTTTGCACTTTGCATTTTCTAAATTGACATAACTAATAAGGACATTCACAAAATGAAGTCGTAAATCACAAGCGTGACAGAATCCGTTGGATGTTGCTGAAGTTATTTGGAAAACTTTCCTCAGCCACTTTGTTTCTTTTCTCCATCACAGCGTCACGTTTCTACACCTTTTCCAACATTTACTAATGTATTATTTCAATAACTGCCATTTAATAGAAGTTTAACTGTCATTAGGTGCAAGTTAAGTTTAAAACGAGCATGTGCTTGTGCACATAATGATCATTACATCTATTCATAAGATAACTTTACATAAAAGGATCTGATTTAACTGCTTTAAATCTGCACAAGATGTCAACTTGTAAATCAAAGGTTATGGTGTTGGGCATCATTTTCAAGGGTTTATAACTTGTACTACAGTACCTATAAAAAGTATCCACCCTCTTGGATGTTTTGGGCTCTTATTACTGCCATATATAAATCATGGTCAGTGTAAATTGGCCTTTACAAAAACAAACTTCTCCAGTGTTTGTGAAATCAATTCTACAGAATAATGCCAAATAACGAAAAGTTTGAAGTGTATACAAAGGGACAGTTTAAATATTCACCCCTTTAAAGCCACTGTCCGAACCCAACTCAAGAAAAGTTCAAGTGAGGATGGAGACACAAAGGCCCTACACATCGCAGGAGTTCTGTTAAATCCCGTCAAGAAATTAAAGGAACATGTGTAAATCTACCAAGAGCAGGCGTCCTCACAAACTTGAGAGCTCGTGAAGAAGAAGTGTGGGAAGACACCTGAGACCACTCTGAAGGGCCTACAAGCTTCAGCCGGTACAATGGGAGCGTGAGCAGACAGCAACTGTTGCCAGAGTTCTTCACCAGTCTGTCTTTATGGGAGAGTGGTAAAAAGAAAGCCACGGTGAAGGAAATTCAGTAAGCTATGACTAGTTTGTCTAGATTGTTTAGAGAGTCTAGTTGAGTACCCTGATGCTGCTCAGTAATCCAGGTAGAAAAATCTCAAAGTTAAATCTGGTCCTCTGGACGTTCAGAAAACAAACAAACAAAACGTAGAACCGTTTCGTCTTCCATCCTGAGGACTTCCTCAGTCTGAGGAGCTGTATTCAGCTCAGTCTCTTAAATAGCACCTTCTCAGAGTGGATCAACCAGTTTGCTGCTGACAACCAGAACCAGCTGATCACATGGTCTTTGTGAAAAGAAATCGTCCATCATTAAACAGGGGTGGAGCCTCCAGGTTCAACTGTCCCCCTCTTACAATGCTGTGATTGCTAGTATCACTCAGCCCTCTGTGAACAGTAAACAGCCATCAGGTGCTAATGATCCATTGTTAGGCTGATGGTCCTTCTTGAGCATGTGATCAGCTGGTTCTGGTTGTCAGCAGCAAAACTGGTTGATCCACTCTGAGAAGGTGCTATTTAAGAGACTGAGCTGAATACAGCTCCTCAGACTGAGGAAGTCTCTCGGATGAAAGATGAAACGTTTCTACAATTATTTTTTTGTTTTTTGAACCCGTCCAGAGGACCAGACTGAACTTTTCTAGACTCCAGTTGAGGTTTTCTTCTTTTTAAAACAGACCATTACTGATTTATTATCACTTAAAACATCCATGGGATGTGAATATCTTTATAAGCTCACAGCTTACTGCTCAACCTCACCCCACACAAATAAATGGCCTCCTGTTAAGATGAACCTGTAATGAATGAAGTAATTAATTAATTAATTTGCCCTCTGGATCTTAATTCAGTTTTGATCAAGTTGGAACTTTTAATGGTGCCAGTAAATTTTTTAAATGCTCAAACTGTAATTGATAGTATCTGTATTAGTGGTGAAGAGTGTGTGATGGATACTGGTTTAGACCTTGAGTGCTCGGCAGGACAGACTGTTCTCTCTGGTATTTGTGGAGCAGCTCTTCCTGATTAGAAGGAGGAAACGTATAAAATCATTTTTTCTTAATAAGCTCTTTGAGAGGCCTGGTTGTCTAAAAAGGCGTTATATATAAGTACACCCCGTTAACATTTCAATACTGGGTGATTTCCTGTGTCCTTCAAGGGAAAAAGTTGTCTCCTGTAAAGTCTGTGTGATATCAATCAATCAATCAACCTTTATTTATACAGGTAAATCCCATTGAGCCTCGAGGACTCATTTACAACAGAGACCTGGTTTAACAAAGAAAGATGAAACAATGGACAACAGCAACAACAATAAACAGTTATAAAAAGTCATACTACAGGGTTTTTTTTTTGTTTTGTTTTTTTACAAATAGGATGGCTAAAAGGAAAAGGTAACAAAAATAAATAAAAAACCCAGCTATATTCTAAGGCGAATGTAGAAAACTAAAAACAGGAACATGTCTGATATTCCTCCTGTTGTTACCGTTGCTGCTTCGGGATGTGGTAAAGGGCAGAAACAGCCCACTCCCTCCACAGCAGTTTTCACTCGTGGTCTCAGGGGCTCGATGCTGGAAGATTAGATGGAAATGTTTCCACCAAGGGGCCCATGGCAGTTACATAACATCCTGCGGGGCCCTCTCAGCTCCAGCCCCTGCCGGGTACAGCTCTGCTTCAGAGCCTCGTGTCAGATGTTCTCAGCACATTGAGGGGCAGCTGGATTCCCGTCTAAAGGACGGTGCGCCATGCTCACAGAGCGCAGTGATTTATACGACAGGAGAGCTGAGCTTTTTCACTATTTATTCAAAGAACTAGAAGCAAACAACATTTTCAGCACCTCCGTTTCCTTTCCCTTACTCGTCTTTATTTTTGTGTGTCTGCATGTTGGTGGCCTTTCTGCTCGAGACCTCATCCACATGCATGTCAGAATGAAGCGTACGTGAAGTCGTTCGTACGCTCAACTTCACCATGAATAGATGAAGGATGTGAAATCAAATGAGTTCAACATGGACAACCAGACAAGTAAATGATATTAAAGATGTTTGTGTAGAGACTCAGGTGAAACGAAAATATCATCAAATATATTTTCTAATATTGATTGAAGGAAGCAGAACTGAAACAAGAATGAAATGAAGAGGTGACGGAAGAATAAATATAAGGTCATTGTTTCCCGTCTTCCGTTAATAATTCAGTCTTTATTGATCTACCGGAGTCGTCCTCCCTGCATTAGCCTTACACACACAGCTGTGTACCGTCAGCTTTTCTCTAATGAGCCCATGCCAACCACCTTGGATGCACACAAACACACGTGCGCTGACGCAACCGTGCGTTTGGTTGAACTGTGAATACGTGTTGTGAGGGAGTGTTGCGTAATTGTTTGGTCCTGGAAAGGTTTTCTGTGCATGTGTTGGTGAGGAAACACACGCAGCCTTGGTTTTGAAGGACCATGGAGGAACAAATGCATCATGACACATTTAGTTTGACCTGATCAGGGGATCAGCAGCCAAAATAAAGCTGTTGAAAACTTTGTGAATACTTTTTGTGATTGTCATTTGATGCAAGAGATCTTAGACTGGGTCAGTGGGAGCTGACATTAAGCATAGTGACTTGGATTTGTTATTAAAACCTGCTTTAAAAACTCTTTTTACTTTTACCTTAATGAGTGGCTTTTAGCTCTCTAAGTTACTGGACTTCAGTGTTTGAAGAGCGGCGAGTCATACGTGATGTTCTCACCAGGTTGTTCTTCTCTCCTCTCTGAATCTGCAGTTCCCACATCTCCCCTATTTCCATCCTGCCTGCTGACTCTGCCGAGTAAGTCAACTCTTTACACACACACGTTCAGAGCTTCACAAACTACCACGTTTATTTATAGAGCGCTTATCACAGCGCTGTACAATAAAAATTAACACTAACATTTACAAAGAATAAAAGAAGCAGAATAAAATCATGACGTAAAGCCTGGGAGAATAAAAGTGTTTTCAGTAGATTTTTAAAGACTCAGCAGAACGACGCTGCAGCTCAAACTGTTCCACAGCCTTCGGGCCAGTAGCTGTGTTTACATGGACATAAGTAATCAGATTAAACGGCCATTTGGAATAAAAATGTGTTGTAAACACTCCATTCAGATTATTCTGAGCTGATTCAGCTCAATCTGAATGAATTTGTAATCAGAATGAGACGGGTGGTTTATGCCGATTCATAATCTGAACAGTGTGCATGTAAACACTTAATCTGATCATTTTATTCCAATTGTGGAAAACTGTCCTGACTGTGCATGTGTGACCTGTGTCTACCGCACGTATTTCCACCTGGCTAATGCTAATAATATTAGCATGTCAGGGAAGCAAAGCTGGTCGGTGAGCGACAACATTTCTACTAGAAACTTTGAAAGAGCTCAGAATGATGTGTGTGACCTGTAGCTCAGTCAGGGAGTGCAGCGACGTGTCCACCATCATTCAAACCTGTCGCGGGTCCGTTCTGGGTGCTCACGTTTGTTTACATTCATCCTGGCAGTAAACCGGAAGTAGAACTTCTTCTTCTGTGTCCTGATGCATGCTCAATAATCCAGGTAGAAAAATCTAAAAAAGTTCAATCTGGTCCTCTGGACATTCAAAAAACAAAACGAAGAGAAGGTGCTGTTTATAAGACTGAGCTGAATACAGCACCTCAGACTGAGGAAGTCTTTCGGATGAGACACGAAACGGTTCTACATTTTTTTGTTGGTTTGTTTTGTTTTGTTTTTTGAATGTCCAGAGGACCAGATTGAACTTTTTTAGATTCTTCTTCTGTGGTTTTTATAAGGAGAGTTTACCCCTCTGCGCATGTCAGTACTTCTGTTCAGAATAAAAGCCCGCTGCATGTAAACGATGCATTCGATTTATTTAATCTGAAAACATTTCAATCCAATCAAAAAATGTACTCATGTAAACATAGCTACTGACTGAAAGGCCCTGTCCCCTTTAGTTTTCAGCTGCATACGTGGGACATCCAAGAGACTCTGTGTCTGGGAACGAAGGCCACGAGCAGCAGAGTATTTGGTTAAAAACCAACAAAGATAAACAGAAGCCATTTAGAGCTCTGTACGTCAGCACCAGAACTTTGAAACGGATTCTAAACTCCACTGGGAGCCAGTGCAGTGAACATAGAACCAGAATGATGTGACAGGATTTGCTGGATTTGATGAGAAGTCCAGCAGTTGTGTTCTCTACTGCTTGTAGACGTGAGACAGAAGACTTGTCCAGGCAGGTAAAAAGGACATTACAGTCGTCCAGACGCGATGACACAAAACATGAATAATTTTCTCAAGGTCAACTCTGGAGACCAAAGGACGTATTTTAGAAATGTTTCTTAAATGAAAGAAACAAGAATTGGAAATAGCTCTAATGTGACACTCAAAGCCTAA